GAAGGATCAAGTTATCTTCTTAATTACCCTAAATGTACACCAGTGCACCTTCTGTAATTTCAGTGTAGCTACCACTGATGTCTGGTGGTGTGAAATCAGTATGAGGTCTCATTTGATATGAGTATGCAGAAGGTCAGATCTTCAGATGTTCAGAGTCAGTGTATTTGCTCCTAGTTTCATTAACCAAGTACGTGGTTGCCAGTCCTTGCCATTTGGCATGAAAATGCTCTCTTTTAGGTTTCTTCACATATTTGGCAGAAATATTCATATATATAAAATGTATCAGCAACAGGGTTCTGGGATCCTGTAGGTATAGATCCGTGGAGCTAATTAATTTTAATTAATCTTCTAAAATCTCTTATTCTAATGCATTAGAACCACCCTTTTTGCGTTCTTGCTTGTGCAATATTTTGTTTTTGAGAGATTTTTCTACAGTGTGAAGAGTTAACAGCAGGTAATGCCATTCATCTCAGAAGGAGTTTGAAATTTTCAGTGTTAGTGATGAATGAGGGTATCTGACCCACATCTGTTTTACATTAGAATGGAACATTGCCCTGACATCGTTAGGAGCATTTGTCAAGATTCCCTGGACAGAGCTTCTGTAAATTACATGCTGCAAATGTGTCAGGGTCAGATAAGAGGATATCATTAACTCCACTAAAGTTTACTCATGATTCTGTCAGTTCAACTTAATACGTTAACTGCCAACAATTTTCCTTGAGCTGTTTCATTAAATCTTTCATTCACAGGAGGGGAAAAAAATGTATCACTGTACCCAAAAAATATTGCACATGTTCTTTTCTCATAAATCATATTAATTGCAGACATGGTCACAAAGCATATTAAATGCAGGCATGCGTAAATGAATTAAAACATATGAGAATTTTATTGTGCCTATGGTAGGTCCTACATCCTAAAATACCAACCGCATTAACAGGCATAATGTTTCATTTAAATAGAATAAGCTTTTTCTCAGTTTAATGGCCTTTATTTTGGTGATAATAGGAGTATTTTCTAATAGCTGATAATGGACCTGATGCTGCATACGTGGCCTTTAAGGCTTTCATCATTCAATTTCTCTTTCTGGATCACATCCTCAGCTAGTGATGCTGTGCTGACCCCACCAGCAAGGGATTTGTCCTGATTAATATTTTGGATTGCTTGGGATGTGCTCTCTGAAAACTTTTCTGTAGAGTTTGGTTGTTGTAGTTCACTGTCGTCTTTTTGCTTATTCCTAATCGCACCTTTGTTTTCTAATAGAACTATTTCATCAATTATATGTCCCGTATTTTATTAGGTAAGCTTAAAGGCTATGTGTCAACATTTCTGCATGTGTTTTCTAAAAAATGAGAACAAAATAGATTTTAGTAAAAAAACTTACAGCCTGATTATTATTTTTTTTTATTTAATGAGTTCTTTACTAAAATAAATTGAACAGCAGTGTTTGGTTCTAGGTGTTAGACCAGCCCATGGTTTTTCTTTCACCTTCTTTGGGATCCAGATCAGCGAAGCTGGCAATTACTACTAGGGCTTTCCCAAAGTAATTCAGAGGAAAGTATATATTTTCCAGTAACTTGGATGGTATATGCATTGAATAAATTTATTTTCTTCCTTAATAATTGTAAAGCAGTCAGATCTGTTTACCTATTTAGAACTATACTGTTTCCTTCCAGCAGAAGATCGGATTTGCAGAATCCAGATTTTCGTGTCTCTCTTGTACACCACTAAGCTGAGGGTGCTGAGCATCTTGCAGACGTGGCCCATTAATAGCTTTGTAATTGATTAGGTGAAAGTCAGCTATGCCCTTCCTGTAACTCCTTGTATGGGTGATAAGGTCATGGCACATACCTTACAAAAGACTTCTGCCCTGAGGCTACTTCCCTTATAGCTTTCAAAACAGACGTGACCAAAAATCTAATTATTTAGATACTAATCAACTGCAGGAAGATTCTGAAGGCCTCTGAAGAAGATATTTCTGAAAAGATGGTTACTGTTCAGACTTCAGTTTCCTCCACCTCAAAGATAGAGAGCTGTGTCAGTTCTGCTCCAAAGTGTCTATTGGGTGCACATGTGCTTAATAAAAAGATGCCTAAAGACTTGTATTATCTCATTAATTTAAATTTTTTAAAGTAAATCTCATCAAATGCTAATTTTAGTTTGTCAGAGAAGATAAGTCTCCATCCAAATATAGATGCTACTGAAACTTTAGTGGCATTTGAGACCAAGTTGGGATCCAGGTTTAAATTTCAAGGCTAATCTCGAACTTTAAAATAACTTCCAATCCCAAAGTTTTTGAGTTCACTGTTTTTTGCTGGCAAAGTCCACATAATGTTGTCTTGGGCTCTATTCTATTGAAAATATTAAACAGAAAAAAAGTTTAGTTGGTAAAAAAGCTATTTGCCCAACTCAGCAATTGACCCTAAAAACCCAGGTAGAGAGAGTGTGTGATGTGAGAGGGCTCAGGTAGAGAAGACTGCCATGGGGACTCCAGCGGGGCGGCATCAGCCCAGCCCCTTCTCCCTGCTCCTGAACTTGGAGCAGAACATGGTAAAGTCCCATAAATATTGGTGTCACATAGGTGCTGCGCGGGAATGGAAAGGGCTGCGCACTTATTTCAGATTCCTGATAAACCATGTGTGTTTTAAACTGTAGTCAAAACTATGATACTTGTGTCAACATAAATATTTTCCAAAGTAGTAATTTTCAATGCAAATATTTAAGTTAAGCTATGTTTTTTTTGTGGATCTTTCTCTTCTTTTAACTCTGATAGTGTTAATTTTAAAGGACAAGGATTAATATAACCTAATGAACGTACCTTCTAGTATTGTATCCTGCTGATGCAGTGGTATTAAGCATGTTAGATTTTCAGGACCAAATAATTTTTTAAAGGTACAAGAAAAATATTTGAAATTCCTAAAGTAGAAAAACTTACTAAAATAATCTTTGGAAATTGTAATACTTTTCAGGAATCAATTTTTAGAAGAAAAAGTTGAGAGCCCTGTTATTACAGCTTTTAGAGGGTTTGGGGACAAAATGCTGTGCAGGTTGCTGTGCAAATAACGTGATTTTTCAATCTGTGGTGGTTCCAGAGATTTTTTAAATTATTTTGTTAACCTCAAATTCTTTTAACAAGTTTTGTGCATTGCAGAAATTATTTGAATTAAATAGAAATTATCTTATAGCCTGAATCCAAATTCTTCTTTTGTGTTTTTAACTTAGAAGTTATAAGATTTTGGTATCTAAATAAAGTCTTTGGATATATTTTGACACTACTTTTTGCATGAATACTTCAGTTTGTGAAACATTCAGAAAATACCATCAGTTAAACTCGTGTTGTTCTGCTTCGTGAAACAGAAATGAACATTCTAGTGCTGTCGGTAGTAACTGAACTTCTCAGTTTGGTTTTTTTTTGTTGTGGTGAGATGTCTTGGGTGCATCTGATGCAGAGATGTTTTGTGTTCTTGATGTAGGTATCGGGGTGTCTCTTTTTGAAGTACTCTGCTTGTGCCTCTTGTTCTTTTCCTTATCAGACATGTCAGACCTGGATGGGTCTTCCTTCCTACTTAAATCATGATCCCTGGGGCTTGTTTCATTTATTTATTAAAAAACAAACAAAACTCAGAGCTGGGACCACACGCTCCCTACAATAATAATCCCTTTTCTTTTGCGATGAAAAATAAATACAATCCATGAAGGAGCATCAGAGCTTCAGAAGCCAGACGTGTTCATATCAGCATAGATTTATTCTTTATAAAATAGACTCCGATTCTAATAATTTCTTCTTAGTTTATGGTAAGAAGTGCAGTAAAGCAAAATTATTATCAAGTAGCATATGTCAGATATTTGTAATGCCTTTTTGGAGGAAGAACAACCTGTAAATTATCAGAATATGCTATTTTGGCAGAAGCTGTATATCATTCATCCGTTATAAGTGGCAGACTTTTTCTCAGGCTCTGAAGTGCAGCTAATTCCAGTGGAAGCAAGCAGTTCTCTCAGTAGTACTTATTTTAAAAATGTACTAGAGATGTGCTGGGAAAGGAAATGCACAGCAACCTATAGTGTGAGGGATTTTTGTACAGTGATAACTTATCACTGTAGCTTCCTTCACTCCTGCTTGAAGGCATAGGTGGTTTTGAATATTTTTTTTTTTTTTTTTGCTCTTCTACTGAAAACTATGGCCTAGAGGGCTGGGCTTTTCTAGGGACAGGCACGTATTTTCCTGTAATCTCTTTGCAACTAATCTTGACTGCTGGTTTCATCACTGTTTGTGTACAAGCAGCTTATTAAGGGAGTCACAGTTGACTTGAAGCCAGTCTGGAATGTCTGACCATTTCTGTTGGGTCCTCTAACTCAATGGATGAAGTTGAGAACTGGTGTTATGACCAGCACTTTAGTCTTTCCCGTTCATTTCTCCCCAGGCCAGCACACAGGGCATGCAGCAGCAGGAGTTATGGCTGCTCTAACCCTTCCCCACATATTCATGTGGTTCTGCGTCCTCGGGTTCTTTGTTACTTCCATCAGTAGTGTTGTTGTGATCCTCTCCAAATTAATTTCATTTCAATGACTGCTACCTTGGGAAAAAAAAAAGTCGTGAGCTTTTTCACAGCTTTTCTGTGTTTGTAGATCATGCAGGACAGCATGGCTAAAGCGCCACTGCTTGCTTCTTATTTTCGTCTAATTGAGTCCTCGAGGAATAAACATCTGCAGAGATCCCACCTGGGGCACGGGAGGATCAGGCACTCTAAAGTCATAAAAGTTTTAAAAATGATTTTTCCTTATTTGCCCTTGGTACCACTTTTTATTGGTTGTTAGCCATCGGTTTTTATTTTGGTGGATGATGCAACCAAATTCCACTTCCTCTTTGGATTAGATATGCAAAGCATAGTTTGAATACCAACTTTAGGAAATCAAGTGATGGACTTGAGAAGTCCTGTGGCTCTGTAAGCGATACAGTTCTTTGCATATTTTAACTCTTTCTATGATTCGACCTTTCATTTTAGGTAATGGGACTCCTGACTAACCACGGTGGTGTGCCTCACCAGCCCCAAAGTGATTATGCCCTGTCCCCTTTAACCGGGGGCCTGGAGCCCACCACCACTGTCTCGGCCAGCTGCAGCCAGCGGCTAGATCATATGAAGAGTCTAGACAGCCTGCCTACATCCCAGTCCTACTGCCCGCCAACCTACAGCACCACGGGTTACAGCATGGACCCCGTCACAGGCTACCAGTACGGACAGTACGGACAAAGTGAGTATTGGACGTTTGCACTGCAAAGTGCAATATTGTACTCGTTTATCAGCAGGCTGTGCTTTCTGCCTGTAACAAAGAGAATTATGAGCAGAGATCCCAATGGCTGCCTACTACTTCTCTCCAAAGCCGAGCGGAGTGGACTGGTGAGATAGCTGATTGTTGGAGCAAGATTTCTGCTGCATAATTATTTTCTTAAGTGATGTCAACAACATCTTGATGTTATTAATTGTTGAGACATGAAACCTGATTGCCATTAGGTAAAACATAAGGGTTGTCCAAAATGAAATAACCACTGGCATTCCACTATTAGAAACACATGTTCTTAATGAGGTCAGCTCAAGAATCATTACAGTATATAATCCCAGATACATAGAGTTTTGTCAAACTTGTCCCAGGAATAAAAATATTAGTCCCTTTCCTTTGATATATCAGTATTAAATATGACAATGTCAACCTGTAGTTGGCATGGCCCCATGCTGTGAGGTTGTCACAGCATGACTTAAAAAGCTTCTTTTGCCTTTTTGCAGGTGCCTTTCATTATCTGAAGCCAGATATTGCGTAAATGAACTGTCCACTTCAAGTTAAAGCTGGTCTTGTTTTCCGGTCTCACTCCAAGGCTTGGATACGAGGGATCTTCTCAACACGCTGCAGTCTAAACTGGGGCAGTCCCACTGAGAGAAGCAGGCTTGTGATTTTCTCTCCAGTCATAGCTTTTAGTAGACTTTTGAAGGCTGGACAAAGCTATACAGAAGACAAAGGCCAAAAGCAATAATGAATAAATAAACACGACACGGTTCATTATGAGTGGGTATACAAAACAGAGCAGTATTTAATATCACTGCCTGGCAAAACATTCCATTTTTTGTTGTTGAAATTAATGTGCATTGATTGGGACAAACGGAACATTTTGAAACTTAGAGCAGTTGAGCTCTGTCTACTCTGACTCATCCGACATCCAGTGCTGACTTTAGTCTAACTTTAAAACTGCTCAGTTTCAGAAGCAAGGGCAAGAGAACCTCTTTCGTTTTACACACTGGAAATTGTCATCAAGAGGAAATGTCACAGTCCGTAGGAAGCGAGGATAAGCGCGAAAGACTTCCAGAGCAACTTACTGGTTACCTTACCACGCTTTTGTAATCATGCTGTCAATAAATGTCACTTACAAGTTTTGCTTTACTGGGAGATGAGATCTTGTGTAACATGAAGAACAGATTTTACCTTTTTTGTATGTGGAGTTTTCCTAGTCCGTTGTACCTTATTGAACAAACATGGGAGAAAAAAAAATCAACGACGCGACTGATTTTTCACGACTGCCTAGCAATGTGCAATACTGTGTACCTCACACAAACTTTGGGATCATCCAAAGTTAGATAGATAGAATCAGAACTATATTTTTGCAGGTACTTTTATTTTTGCAGTGCATAATTCCTGATGATAAAATACAGAAACGTTGCAGTCTGCTGGACAACTAAAATCTAGCTTGCTAATCATGATTTAAAGGTCATTTTCAGGAAACAATACGAAAAAATGATTACGTTTACATTTTTTTTAGTGATGTACAGGACACGGGCAGAAATGGACCTGTATTTGACACATTTGTTTAAATTATACAGCAATATCCAATATAGAAAATATAATTATAGGAACCAAGGTTTACAAGAAGTTTGCATTGTGACATTTTAGAATGTCAATAAATTTGTGTTTTGTGATGTTGAGAAGAAGAGGAAGATGGAAGGCGGTGTTATTTATTTCTCTCTATTCTTGGAACAAAGAGAGAGGCAGAACACAAATACATTCCTTGTAGCGTTAAGGACTATGAAGTAGTGAGTTAGACTAGGTTCAGTACAGAGGTTAGTTCACACATTGGTCTAAAGGGTGATGGAAAAATGAAATATTATCTTTTGTGTTGCAGCCTCTACAACAACACACGTGTTGTAAAAAAACAAAAAACAATAACAAAAAAGAACAAAAAAGAAAACAAAAACGTCTTTCATGTAAAAAGTTCAGTAAATATTTACTATTTATAATGAATAAACATTATGAAGACTTGCAAAGCACTGATGATTTTGTCCTAAAATGTAGTATTGTGCTAAATACATTGATACATTTTAATCTGAATATCATGAAGAAATAAACCATGTTATCTTCAACGCAAACTGTATTCATTATGTAAGCGTATTCTGCGCGCATCCGGGGCTGTGGGAGTCTCAGTGCCTGTGCTGCTAAAGTGCCACTCGTGGCTCTGAGGCTGGTGATGAACTATGCCTTTTTCAAGTGCTATTGGTATCAGTGCTCCGTCTTCCCAACAAGAGAAAAGCATTGTGCCTCCATGGTGCATTTAAAAGAAAATATAATAGGCTTAAACCCAGCATAAGCAGGGCAACTGGGATGGCTTCATGCAATGCAGGAACTTTGTCATCGGTCATGGGTGGTATCTGTCCTGATTTTTTTTTTTTTTTCTTAGAAGCCTCAAGAATTGTGTCATAGGCTTGTACACAAGCTGATTGAAAAGGGGGAAGACGCTTCAAAATGAATGGAGTGAGTTTTAGTGGCACATCAGCGTGTGCGGGAGTTTTACTTCACACTAGGCTTGGTGGACATTTAATTTCTTCACCATTTTGTTGGGGGCTGTAACCACCTTAAAGTTCTTTCAGCTCCTATTTCTGTGCGCATTTTGTGGTTTTTTTTTTTTTTTATTTCTAGTTTGTTCTTTTTAACTCTAGCCCTCTTCTGTTGGGAAAGCAAGGAATATACTTTTTGAAAAGAGGACATTTAAAAAATGCTGAAAAATAGGGAAAGGAGATTTCTTTTTTTCCTCCAGTTTATGTTTCTCTGATAGGCCTTTAATTTCTGTGACAATTAAAATTTAGGTCTTTTATTAATACTGATTCTCTACTCTAAACTGCTAATTTTTCTGATTTTTTTTTTTTTTCCAATGATCCCCTTCCAAAGGACTTGGGCCTTGGCATTGGTCTTGTGTGCTAGGCTTGCTGCAAAGGCCAAATAAGTCCCTTTTTCCCCACTTGCAATCCCTTTGCTGTGAAGTAGAGGACAAAGGCTTGGTTTGGAAGGTTGCATGGTTTGGAAGTGGATGATGTCTGTACGAGTGCTCCTTCCCAGAAAGGGTGTACCTTTGTCACAGGATGAGTGAAAAATGCAACCTCCACTGTCTGCCTTTTTCCGTTCCGGCAGCTGGGGCAGTGGGACAGAGCTGAGATTTCCCCCTCCATCCCTGCGGTGCTGCTGGTGAGGTGCTTTCCTGACCTGACGTTAGACAAGGGGCATTTTGGCTGCTCTGTCCTCTTTTTAAGTGTCTCCCAAGCACTTCCTTGCGTGAGAGACCAACGCAGAGCAGGAGAGCCTGGAAACAAGACAGATAAGGAGAAAACCATCCAGCCCTCCCACAGGCAAGCCGTGCAAGTGGGGAACTGGGATGAGCTCTTCCCGGAGGAAATGAGGAGCCCGGGGCAGAGGCACTAAGCAGTTTCCTGATTTTATGGTGCACCACAGGAATCTTTGACAGAGCAAAAAGGCTTACTTGGGGTACTGTTGATCCCTTCTTGTTATCCCTCTCAAGGCTGAAGAGGTTCTTGGGAGCCACGTGTGTTTCTGGAATACAAATCCCGAACACTTGGAAAGTGAAAGGGGCTTGAGCCTGTCATGGATATCGCGTTTGACAGAAATGCCATGGAATAGCTTGGAGGAATGTGCTCCTAGCAATGGAATCCAAAGCCTCCTCACTGATGAGTGCAGAAAGGATGGATCTCAAGGCCCTTCCGCTTTTTTTCTGGGGGGGTGTGTGCATGTATTTTACAAGATGGAAATCAATAACAACAGCTGCTTAACCAACTGCCTGTCATCTCATAGATATAAGAACTGGAAATTCTTGAGAGACAGGCTTTGGTGAAAAAATATTTATTCCTCGTGGCACAACCATGATTTTTAATTTATCCTTTGCTTTTAAATCTTCCTTTATCTACAAATAACCTCTGCTCCCATTGAAATACCCAATATATGCATTTCAGCATATAGTTACGTTGGTATATGTTACTATTCCTTTATTTGAGCATGTCATTTTTAATGAATGAGCTAGGAAAAGAATAATTTTTAACATTTTCCCTGGATAATTCAGTGTATCCCATTTAAACAAAACCTATAAATAAACATTTTTCTCCAACAATCACACAGGGTTTTCTACTCAGTGTTGCTGAAAAGTCTCACGTCATTTGACAAATGTTGTGGAACTGTACCTTTCTATACCTATTCTGAAAGGCACAAAATGCCTACCTGAACGTACAAACCTTCACTGAAAATAGCTTACTGTTAAACAGGATCTATGTCCTCAGAAATCCGTTTCTGCATATATGTGGTATTAGGGCTGTATTTTTAATCCCTGGGTTAAGGTCTGTGGAAGTTCAAACTTAAAAAATCTGGCTACAGATCTGTAACCTAGATCTCTGAACTTAATGAAAAAATGCAAAGTTATTTAGTTTTGGAAATCCCAAACCTACTCCAAATTATCAACTGCTACTAATAATTTCTATATGCAAGGATGTATTTTTATTTTCTCAGAAGTCTGACAAACTATAGCATGCAAATTGCTTGTTATGTCTTAATTCTGTGATATAGTCTCATACATATAAGAAATGTATTCCCTCTCATCAGAGTGCTGTCAGTTACTGCTGATGTGTAAAGCCCACGTTTTTGCTGTTAGTAACCATGAAAGTTCTTGATGTTTTCTATCCATAAAGTCTTCTGACCTTAAAGTCTATAAAGTGGATTACTCAAAGGTACCTCTGTATAAAATAACAAATTAATTTAAGGCAATATCAATGAGGCCATCAGAAACCTGGAAGAACTTGAATTCATAAACCTCTCTGTATTGTTCGCTGCAATGTTCTGTGGCTCACTTAATAATGGCAAGAAAACTTGCACCCTGTTTAGAAGATTCCATTTTTAATTTCTTTTGGCTTTTCCAAGGACATCTAGATATTGCCTAGAGCCAGACAAAAATAATCTGGAATAATATGAACAACTACAGTAAATTAAATTGCTAAATTACTCTTCAATTGACATTAGATAGGTATTCTGTTTAGATTACGTATATGACATTGCAATGTTCATTTGCCACTGCCTGAAAAAGTCTTATGTGTCTTTCAGTTTATTCTGTAGCTAGTGTTTACCATAAATCAGTGCATGTATTTATATGGAGTCACAGCGTTATCTTAAGGAATCGCATGAGCTGATCTGAATCTGTTCAAGATATTTGTCTATTGTAAAATAACCAAAATTGCAGTCTGCAGCTGTGGCCCTTGTAGGTAATGGGCCCTTTGGTCTGTCAGATTTTCACTACCTATTCTCTCCCAGCACTTCTGGGCAGCTCATCACAGACTGGGAAGTTCTCATCAGTCACAGGGAGCAAAGTGCTTTTAGCTCAATAGTTAGTCAGGTTCAAAACCTTACAGAGTATTTATTGTACAAGCAGGCTTCAAAATTAGTACGTTAAACATACTGCTGGAGCACCTTTCTGTTTTCCCATCGTGGTTCCACAAAGTAACACTTTGCAGCGCTCACATGTAGTTCAAATCTTCGTTTGATGCATTTATATTGCCTCAGAACTGATGACCAAGTAGGCTGGTAACCCAGAGCGCC